CAAGCCTATAATCCCAGCACTTTGGGAGGCCGAGGCGGGTGGATCACGAGGTCAAGAGATCGAGACCATCCTGGTCAACATGGTGAAACCCCGTCTCTACTAAAAATACAAAAAAAAAATTAGTTGGGCATGGTGGCGCGTGCCTGTAATCCCAGCTGCTCAGGAGGCTGAGGCAGGAGAATTGACTGAACCCAGGAGGCGGAGGTTGCGGTGAGCCGAGATCGCGCCATTGCACTCCAGCCTGGGTAACAAGAACGAAACTCCGTCTCAAAAAATAAATAAATAAATAAATAAATAAAGGCCCTGCCAAGCCATCTTTTGGGGGGGAAAATTTGCATCTGTAAAGAATCTATATTGACATAACCAAATCTTTCTCCTATGAGGTCCTCCCAATCCTGAAGAGATTAACTGACAGGCTAGCATATCTATATCTATATTTTTTTGAGAAAGTGGAAATGATAAAGTTTTTTTTTTTTTTTGAGACAGAGTTTTGCTCTTTGTTGCCCAGGCTCCTGCCTGGGAGTACAATGGTATGAATTCAGCCCACTGAAACTTCTGCCTCCTGCGTTCAAGCAATTCTCCTGTCCAAGCAGCTCAGAGTACAGGTACCTGCCACCATGCCTGGCTAATTTTCGTATTTTTAGTAGAGACAGGGTTTCACCATGTTGGCCAGGCTGGTCTCAAACTCCTGACCTCAGGTGATCCACCTGCCTTCACCTCCCAAAGTGTTGGGATTACAGGCATGAGCTTCCACCCCTGGTCGAGAAACCAAGTTTTTTTGAGACAGGGTCTCACTCTGTCGCCCAGGCTGTAGTGCATTGGTGCGATCCCAGCTTACTGCAACTTCTGCCTCTGGGTTCAAGTGATCCTGTTTTTTTTGTAGAGACAGGGTTTCACCATGTTTCCCAGGCTGGTGTCAAACTCCTAGTTGTGCTAAAGTGATCCACCTGCCTTGACCTCCCAAAGTGCTGGGATTACAGGTGTGAGCCATCGTGCCCGGCCAGAAATGAGAAACTTTATAGTCAAGTTGTATTTCCTGAAGATAAGAAGGTCCTAACAGCCTAGAATAGTAACATCTTAAAAGAGGTAGAAAGTCTGAGATTTTAAGTGGGAAATCTGTGGCACTAAACCTTATCAAATGAGTTAGGCCTTTGGGCGCGGTGGCTCATACCTGTAATCCCAGCACTCTGGGAGGCTGAAGTGAGTGGATCACGAGGTCAGGAGTTTGAGACTGTCCTGGCCAACATGGTGGAACCCCATCTCTATTAAAATACAAAAAATTAGCCAGATGTGGTGGCGGGCACCTGTAGTCCCAGCTACTCGAGAGGCTGAGGCAGGAGAATCGCTTGAACCTGGGAGGGGAGGGTTGTAGTGAGCTGAGATCATATCACTGTGCTCCAGCCTGGTGAGAGCAAGACTCTGTCTGAAAACAACAACAAAAACCCCACAAACAAGAAACGAGGGAGGCCTTAGGAGTAATTAATAAATTACCAGAACCTTTACAGTTTTTTTTTGGGGGGGTTTTGTTGGTGTTGGGGGAAGAGACCATTCACTGACTGAGTTCGTCCAACAAGAAGCCATAACTTTATTTATGATAGAAACAGTACAAATTTCAAACCAAGCTGCAGTTACTCCTTTGAGACACCAAAAAAAGTTGCTTTCACATGGTTACATTGTTAATTCCTGTAAGAGAGAAAAGATAATTAGTGGTTCTTACAGGCAAATCAGGAGAATTCAGGTCACTAAAACCTATGGCAACTCAGAAGAGGCTCTGGAATGAGGTTCCCTAACTGGCTGATATTTAGCAGAGAAAATAAAGTTATTCATAATTGGTCAGGGCAGAGGGAATCAAGGAACAAAGGCTTGAACACTTACCATAATAGCATTTACAATATCATTACTGTTGTTCTTCAGGGCTCGGACTGCCTTTGCTCTCGACACATTTGCTTGTGACATGACCAATTCTATGTCTTTAACTTCTACACCTGTTTCATCGACCTGAGAGAGGAGAGGGAAAAAGCAGTAAATTAAAGGCAAGAACAATTTCAGCAGTTCTTTGGAGTCTCCTGAATCTAGTTGATCCACGTGCCTTGGCCTCCCGAAGTGTTGGGATTACAGGTGTGAGCCATCAAGGCAGGTGACTCTAGTTGATCCACCTGCCTTGGCCTCCCAAAGTGTTGGGAGCTATATTAATAGCTCAAAATTACTTAACAGGGTTCGAGAGCCTCAACAATATAAAACCCACTCACCAGCACAAACACATTGCTATACGGCATGAGTTAAAAGTATAAAAGATTTCCTATTCCTAGTATACCTCTTCCTCTTCACTCTCCTCTTGTACAGTTGGAGTCTGTGTGTTTTCTTGAATGTTTGAGACAGCTTCACCTTGAACTTTGAATTTCTCAGCAGCTGCTAGTTGTGCTTGCTGAGATAAATCTTCGATCTACAGGGTAGAGAATATAGATCCATGTGAGTAGATCAGTCTGCAGTCATTGAAAAGGAAATCATATAGTTTCACAGTTCTCTCTGTAAACTCACTTCAGGTAACTTACTGTATAGCTTTAAACTGCTTGCCGTCATTCACAGTATGTATCACAGTATAAAAAGTAGTTGTTTAGGTTTAGAGCAGTGGTTCTTTTTTTTTTTTTTTTGAGACGGAGTTTCGCTCTTGTTACCCAGGCTGGAGTGCAATGGCGTGATCTCGGCTCACCGCAACCTCTGCCTCCTGGGTTCAGGCAATTCTCCTGCCTCAGCCTCCCGAGTAGCTGGGATTACAGGCACGTGCCACCATGCCCAGCTAATTTTTTGTATTTTTAGTAGAGACAGGGTTTCACCATGTTGACCAGGATGGTCTCGATCTCTTGACCTGGTGATCCACCTGCCTCGGCCTCCCAAAGTGCTGGGATTACAGGCTTGAGCCACCGCGCCCGGCCTAGAGCAGTGGTTCTGAACTGAGGGTAATTATGTCTCCCAGGGGGTACGTGGCAATGGAGTATTCTGGGTAATCAAAACTGGTTGCGATGCTGCTAAACATCCATAATGCACAGGTTAGCCCTCCCAAAACAGAGAACTATTGGATGCAAAATGTCAGCAGTGCTGAGGTTGAGAAACCCTGGTCTAGAGCAATTCCCAAGAAAACATTACTCACCTTGGCTTCCCCAAACACTATGTAGGTATCCGAAGCAGGGCTCTTGTAGACATCTGGTTTTGTGATGACAAAGAGGATATTCTTAGATTTCCGGATAGTGACTCTAGTAACTCCTGTAACCTGTCGAAGACCCAGTTTGGACATAGCCTAAAGAGAAAATAATATCAGGTTTTCAGCTTCTTTAGAAGCATCCTAAATAAGCAAGAAACAATACAACATCCAAAGCAATGCCTTTCCCCAGGCTAAGATAAGTTCATAAAATAGAGAATGGCTTTTCTGCCATAGTAACTTCTGTTACCTTTTTTTTTGAGACAGTTCTTGCTCTGTCACCCAGTCAGGAGTGCAGTGGTGCAATCTCAGCTCAATGTAACCTCTGCCTCCGAGGTTCAAGCAATTGCTGTGCCCCAGCCAACTCAGTAGCTGGAACTACAGGCATGTACCACCACACCGTGCTATTTGTGTGTGTGGCATTTTTAGTATAGATGGGGTTTCGCCATGTTGGCCAGGCTGGTCTTGAACTCCTGACCTCAAGTGATCCACCTGCCTTGGCCTCCCAGAGTGCTGGGATTACAGGTGTGAGACACCAACCCGGCTACTTCTGTTGCTTTACTTGTAATAACCAAAATACTACCTGTTCCCCCAAAACCTACAGAAATAGAAAAAAAAGAGTTCTTCTCTCTATAAAGGTGCTTCATGAGATCCTGAAATCCTTTTCTTTTTTTTAAATTTTATTTATTTGAGACGGAGTCTCACTCCTGTTGCCCAGCAACAAGAGCAATAGCGTGATCTCAGCTCACTGTAACCTCTGCCTTCTGGGTTCAAGCGATTCTCCTGCCTCAGCCTCCCCAGTAGCTGGGATTACAGGCACCTGCCACCACGCCCAGGTGATTTTTTGTATTTTTAGTAGAGACAGGGTTTGACTATGTTGGTCAGGCTAGTCTTGAGGCGATCTACCTGCCTCAGCCTCCCAAAGTGCTGGGATTACAGACGTAAGCCACCGCACCTGGCCCTGAAATCCTTTTCAAATAAATCTTACCTTCCGTGCCTTCTTTTCACTTCGACTCTGTTTTGCTTTACTGACGGGTTCTTCATCTATCTCAGCTGCTGCCGCCAGCTAAGAGGATAAAACAGCTGTTGGTTAACCAGAATCTAAGATCTGGATAGTACAATCTCCATGTGGTTTTTCCTTTATGAAGGGTCACAGTTCCAAATACAAAAGTTGCTCTGATCAACCCTGCTTCCTTGACCCAATTACTTATACCAGTTATTAGAGAATACCCACCTGGGCTTGTTGTGTGGTTGCCTGGGTGGAGTCCTGTTCTTCAAGCTCTGGTACTGATTCATCACTGTCAGATTCTGTTCCAGATCCTAAGATGAGAAGCAACTTTTACTACTTTATAGTAGAAATTATAAGAGAAGGTACTTCACCAACCCACCTGGACTAGAAGTCAATGGCTCATGCTAAACCTCAGAATGTTAAATGTAAACCAACTGGCTTGTGTGAAGCCAATCTGATAGCCCCTTAGTCACTAACTAGTGTATATATCTAGTAAAGACCCAGCCCTAAACCCAGAAATGAGGAGTAATCGCTAGAAAGAGCTGAGCAGTTTAATATACTGCTTTCTTTCCCTCAAGGTCTTTGTTTCTTGGCACAGGCAAATAATGACCCATATGACTCTAAATTTTACCCAATAGTCTAATTGTCCCTGAAAAGTTCTGCCAGAAGGTGCCCCCAGATACGCTTAAGTGTGTGTGTGGGGGGAAACCAATGAAATCACACGGTGGAGGCGTAACAGGTAGGGTGCTCTTCCCCTCAACTTTTAACTGGGTTGGAGGAAGTCAAAAGCAGTCATGTACACATATTCAGCCTTTTTCAAACCTTTCACCCCAGCAATGTGATCTAATCAATATAGTTAGAAGATTCTCAATGATGTTGATCTGTAACTCTAATTTTCCCAAACATAATTCATGTAAGTTTCTCTCAATTGAAAGGCCAAGCATCAGTAAAGACTACTGAGGAAAAAAAGCATATGCCTACACCATTTTCAGGCTAGGAAAAACAGGTTTCTACATTTTTATGAAAAGGGAGTCCCTGGGTAACTGGTTATTACTAAGTCTAAGAAGGGAAAAAGAAATACAAATAGTTCAATTCTCTAATATTTTAGCAAATCTCAGGTCCAGGGACAAGGTTAGTGATGTGGTAGAGATTAGAGCAAATTAAAGGTCTGGCAGGTCTTGGTTTTCAATGTCAGATCCACTAGGTAAAATAGAAGGCATGGCAGGCTTCAGGGTAGCCTGGGCCACACAAGATATACAAGGTACTACGTATCTATCTGAAGTGATGAAAACCAAGATTTGGTTTCGTATTTCTAGAACTTTTGCATTTAAAATTATCATTCTATGTTCTATGTCAAAACTCAAGCAGATTCACTGAAGAAAGCGGCGCATCACAGTGTTAGTATTGGTGGCTAGCCCCCAAGAGGGGTGTGGGCGACAGACACACCATGCACACAGCAAACCAAGGCAAATACCCTTGTTGTTCTTCATAACAGGCTGCTTGGCAGAGGGGGTTGGGACAGGGATTCCAGCAGGTTTTGGGGGGGGCATGTTGACGAGGACCGACTGGAAAGGCACTCCCCCAGAGATTGGTTCCGGGGGAATCAGAGGCGGCAGCTCATCCTCATCAGCAGGGGCTAGGGGTTTAGAGGGTGATTCCAACACCAGCCCAGGAGAGGACGGCAGAAATTGCTGTGTAGGAGGCAGAGGGGGAACTGGGGAGGAAGCAAGAGGCAGAGAGACTGGTGGGGTGGGTGCTAGAGAGACAGATGCTGTTAGAGGGATGGATGCCTGAGACTCAGGAGCAGCCAAGGGGCCCTTTGGGAAATGAGAAGCATCTTTGCCTTTTGCTGTCTTTGAAGAGCCTTTCTGAGCAGGGAGTAGAGGGGCTGGAGCCACTGTGGAAGGAGGTCCTTTAGTACCATTCTTAGCTGAGGGATCTGGGCACATAGGAGATGAAGTAGCAGAACTCTTCTTAGTCTGTGGGCCTTTCCCAGTGGGAGCTGTGATGATTGGCATACTTTCTGAAGCTGGGGCAACAGGTACTTCTTTCAGAGCTGTGGGGCCTTTCTTTGCTGGAAGCCCTTTAGATGTTTGAGGAACAGTGGCCCCGATTTTACATGTGACAGAAACTGGGGAGGTAGGAAAGTCTTTGAGGGAGGAAGGAGTCACAGGTGGCGAAGTGGGAGTCTCTTTGGGGCCTGGAGTTGCTGGGCCCTTTTTGGGGGATGGAGGAGTCACAGCTGGAGTAGTAGGGGTCTCTTTGGGAAAGGGAGAAGTCATAGTTGGGGGAATGGGGACCTCTTTATAAGAGGGAGGAGTCACTGCTGGGGGACTGGAGGTCTCTTTGGAGGATGCAGTAGCTGGGGCTTCTTTGGGGGCCGAAATTGATGGGGTCTTTTTGGAGGAGGGAAGAGTCATAGCTGGAGGAATGAGGGCCTCTTTGGGAGCTGGAATTGCTGGGGTCTTTTTAGAGAGAGGAGTCACTGTTGGGGGAGTGGGGACCTCTTTGGGGGAAGAAGGAATCACAGTTGGCAGAGTGGGGGCCCCTTTGGGGGCTGGAGTTGAGGGGGCCTTTTTGGGAGAGGAGGAAGTAGGGGGTTGTTTGGGGGCTGGAGGCTCCTTGGGGGAAAGAGGAGTCACTGCTGGGAAAGTGGGATCCCCTTTGAAGGATGGGGTAGTTGGGCCTCCTTTAGGGGAAGGAGTTGTAGCTGGGCCTCCTTTGGGGGCTGAAGTTGCTGGGGCTTTCTTGGGGGAAACAGGAGTCACTGCTGGGGGAGTGGAATCTCCTTTGGATGGGGTAGCTGGGCCTCCTCTGGGTACTGGAGTTGCTGGAGCCGTTTTAGGGGAGACAGGAATCACTGCTGGGGAAGTAGGGTCCCCTTTGGGGGAGGAAGTTGAAGCTGGGGGAGTGGGGTCCTCTTTGGAGGATGGAGTAGTTGGGCCTCCTTTAGGGGAGGGAGTTTTAGCTGGGGGATTGGGTACCCCTTTGGGGTGTGTAGCCGGGCTTCCTTTGGGGGATGGGGTAGCTGAGCCTCCTTTGGGGGCTGAAGTTGCTGGGGCCTTTTTGTGGGAGATAGGAGTCACTGCTGGGGAAGTGGAACCTCCTTTGGATGGGGTAGCTGGGCCTTCTCTGGCAACCGGAGTTGCTGGAGCCTTTTTGGGAGAGAGAGGAATCATTGCCAGGGAAGTGGAGTCCCCTTTGGGGGTTGGGGTAGCTGGGCCTCTTTTGGGGGATGGAATTGCAGCCGGGGGAGTGGGGCCCTCTTTGGAGGATGGGGTAATTGGGCCTCCTTTAGGGGAGGGAGTTGTAGCTGGGAGAGTGGGGGCCCCTCTGAGGGATGGAATAGCTGGGCTTCCTTTTGGAGAGGGAGGAGTTGCAGCTGGGAGAGTGGGGGCCCCTTTGGCAGGTGGGGCACCTGGACCTCCTTTTGGGGAGGGAGGGATTACACCTGGGGGTGTGGGGGCCCCTTTGGGGGGTGGGGTACCTGGACCTTCTTTTGGGGAGGGAGGAGTTACAGCTAGGGGAGTGGGGGCTCCTTTAGGGGGTGGGCCATCTGAGCCTCCTTTTGGGGAGGGAGGAGTTGTAGCTGGGGGAGTGGGGCCTCCTTTGGGGGATGGGGAAGCTGGGCCTCCTTTTGGGGAGGTTGAAGTTGCAGCTGGGGGAGTGGGAGCCCCTTTGGGAGGTGGGGTATCTGGATCTCCTTTTGGGGACGGAGGAGTTACAGCTGGGGGACTGGGGGCCCCTTTGGGAGGTAGGGTAGCTGGACCTCCTTTTGCAGAGGTCGGAGTTGCAGCTGGGGGAGTGGGGACCCCTTTGGGGGGTGGCATAGCTGGGCCTCCTTTTCGGGAAGAAGGAGTTGCAGCTGGGGGAGTGGGGGCCCCTTTGGGAGGTGGGGTATCTGGACTTCCTTTTGGGGAGGGAGGAGTTGTAGCTGGGGCCCCTTTGCGGGGTGGGGTAGCAGGACCTCCTTTTGGAGAGGCTGAAGTCGCAGCTAGGGGGGTGGGGGCCCCTTTAGGGGATGGCCTAGCTGTGCCTCCTTTGGGGGAGGGAGGAGTTGTAGCTGGGGGAGTGGGGGTCACTCTGGGGGATGGAGGAGCTGGGCCTCCTTTTGGGGAGGGAGGAGTTGCAGCTGGGGGAGTGGGGACCCCTTTAGGGGGCGGGGTAGCAGGACCTCCTTTTGGAGAGGCTGAAGTCGCAGCTGGGGGGGTGGGGGCCCCTTTGGGGGATGGCGTAGCTGGGCCACCTTTGGGGGAGGGAGGAGTTATAGCTGGGGGAGTGGGGATCACTCTGGGGGATGGAGTAGCTGGGTCTCCTTTGGAGGAAGAAGTTGCAGCTGGGGGTATGGGGGTCTCTTTGGGGGATGGGGTAGCGGGGCCTCCTTTGGGGACTGGAGTTGCTGTGGCCTTTTTGGGGGAGGAAGAAGTCATAGATAGAGCGGGGGCCTGTTTGGGGGCTGGGGTAGCTGGGCCCTCTCTCGGGGAGGGTGGATTCACAGCTGAAGGAATGGGAGTCTCTTTGGGGGATTGTGCTGCTCCTTTGGGAGACAGAGGAGTCACAGCTGAGGGAGTAGGGGCCCCTTTGGGGGATGGAGGAGTGGGACAATGCTTTGTATTTGGTGAGTCTTTAGAGCCTTGAAAAGAAAGACTGTTCTCTGGAAGAAGTAAAGCTTCAATTGGAGGAACAGGGGATGAGAGATTTCCAACAGGAGTATCAGGGCCAGCAGAACCCTTCTTGGTTGGAGGTCTTTTAGTCTGAGGAGATACACTAACCCCTAAAGGAGATGGGGAGTCAGCTAGGTAAGTCAGAGTTCCTTTGGAAGATGCAGTAGCAGAGGCACCAGAGTCCTCAGTTGGGCACCCTTTAGGAGACAAAGCAACAGGTGCCAGTGCTGAAGTATGAGAAATACCATCAACCTTTTTTGTACCTGGAGGAGTCCCAGCTGGGGGAAGACAGGGTGAGGGCACAGACTTGGGAATTTCAGGGGCTAGCACTAAGGTAGTCAGAGAAGCAGAGGTATTCTGGGGGGATAGAGACACAGGGTAATTTTCTGAGGCTGAAGCAACCAAGGGTAAAGTAGTAAGAGTGGAAGTACCTTCCTTAGCTGGGTGGTTTTTAGGCGCTAAAGAGACAGTTCCTTCTAGAAAAGGGCTGGCTGTAGTTGTATAAGTTGAGGTACCTTTGGCAATTGTGGGAGCCACCCCAGCAGGTTTGGCACTTTCCAAAGGAAATGCAGCCACTGCTGGGGTAGTGAGAGAGCTTTTGGGAAGCAGACCAGCAGAGTCTGGGCCTGCATAAGAATCTGTCTTGATTACAGAGGCCGGGGATTTAACACCCAGGGGAGAGGTTGTAGAGCTGGCTGGTTTACCTACAGGGAGAGGCCCTCCAAAGCTTTTCTTTGCTAGGGTGGCTTCAGGAGAAAGAGATATCTCCGGAGAAGAGGGTGTACTTTGGAAAAAAGGAGATTTTTTCTGGGCTGCATGGGCTAATGGTAATACAGTAGAGTCTTTCTTGGTGGTGAGCTCTGCCTGGGCTGGAGAGAAAGGGGCTCCTTCAGGAGAGGCAGGTACAGTTTGGAGATCTTTTTGTGTTGGAAATTTAATCAATACTGAACTGGGGAGATTTTTGAGGTCTTTAAGGTCTGGCAGAGGAGGAGAGACTGGTATCCCCAGAGTGGTTGCGACTTGAACAGAAGGCTCTTTGGGAGCCACAGGTGCCATAACCAACACAGCAGGGGAAGTTGGTTCTACATTGCCTATGGGACCTGAGGAAATTGGAGGAGAAAGACAAGTAGCTACCTCAAAGGTAGTAGGTGCTGCAGCAATAGTACAGGGGTTAGTCACCACAAGTGGGGTGGTTCCAACAGAAGAAATGGGAATCTGGGCCACTGAAGGATGATGAGTGGCATTAGGAGAGCTTCTGAGAATGAGAGAGGCTGTAGGAGATAATGAAGACGAGGTAGCTACATGTAAGGTGCCAGAAGGGCTGCAGGTTATGCTAGTGACGGTAGAGGGACCTTTGTCAACAGATGAAGCCACCACTGGAAAGGCAGCCACAGTAGCAGGAACTACCTCATTCCTGGAAGGAAGGGAAGGAATTTCAGATCTCTGAGGAGGGTAAGAGGCCCCTGTGGAAGAATTATCTGTAGAAATGGTCTTTACTGTAGGGTCTAACAAAGCACCAGAACCTGTCTGACCTAAAGGTTGGACAGAACCAAAAGAACTCTGATGTAAAGGTGCAAGATGAGAGCCCAGAGAAATGGGAAAATCTGGGGTGGTGTTGGGACCCGCAGTCTTTTGAGAAGAGGTCATCAAAGGAAGAGACTGAGTTGCAAGAGATAAGGCAGCAGGCGGACTAACAGGCCCCTTCAGGCTGAGGCTTCCTGGGTTTTGTGGAGAAGTCAGAGCTGAGGAAATGGTGGTATCTTTGACCTGAGGAGAAGTGATGGCTAGGGTAGTGGTGGGTGTTATCTGAGGACAGGAGGCCACTCCAGACTGAACAGAGGCCAAGGGAGTCACACAGTGGTAAGGAACAGCACTGACTATACCTGGAGGACTGGCGTTACCTTTCAAGTTAGGGACTACCTGAGAGGGAACTTTAATAAGATTAGTCTTTGGTTCTGGGGGAGTAATGGGAGCTGACAGAGGCATCACTGACCCCGACTCAGCTACAGCCACTGAAGGCGGTGAAGTAAGGAGGTTAGGTGGAAAAGCAGAACTCTTCTGAACTGAGTGGGGAGCCAGGGCAACCAGAGCTAAGGGAGCTGAAGAGGAAGGGGTCCCTTTCAGAGTTGGAGCTATCATGGGAGAGGCCAGAGCTAGGGCAGCTGGGGAGATGGGAGGCCCTATTAGGTTTGGTAGGAAGGTTGGGGCTTCAGGGGAAGTTCCCAAAGGTAGGGTGGTTCCAGAGGATGACTGGGGAAAAGGAACTTCAAATGGGGTCGAGGCAATAGTAGAGGGGGAAGGGAATGGGGCAGCCTGGTTAGCAGCTGACAGAGGGCACTGTTGCAGGGTGGGAGAGCAAGGAGGGGGAAGGGTAGGTCCAGGCTGCCCTAAGGCAGCAGTGACACTCAAGGCTGAAGACATAGGTAGCACAGCTGGAGAAAGGCAAAAGGAGATAAAGAAGGGGTGGGGGGGGGGGGAGAAAAAAGGTGAGTTATGCAGCCCAACTTGGTACAACATACCTCATAGGAAGCACTGGAGTTTAAATCTGACAGTCTAAGTCACCACGCAGGATTAGATAAAGGTGACAGGCACCAACAACCTTCCCCAAACATTTTTCAGGGGTGAGAAGCCATTCCTCTCCTAATTTCTCACACATCCCAAGTTCTACCAAAGCAAACCAACTATTTTAGGGTGAGGAGAACGGTCTAACAGCAGCCTATCTCTAAATGGGGAGCACAGCCCCTTGGTAGGTTGGGAACATGCTTTCTACTCTTTCCCAGTGGTGTCCTCCCCTTGCTTCCTGAAATGGACTACATTCCCAAATCTTTCTCACAGCCAATAGAATTACCACTAGAAGAACAGCTGTGCTACTCTGTCCACCCAAATATCATGAACTAACGGAAAGAGATACCAAAAAGTAGTGAGTAGTGGTAATGATGGGGAATCTGAACTGAATGAGAAAAAATGGGGTTGTATACTTTCAGACTTCCACTAGGCTAGGAAAAATCGGACTGTTAGAATAGTTTTGGGAAGCGGGTGCATTGCACAATTCAGTTCTTCCTAAAGTTGAAACTCTTCAGAATTTAATACCAAGTATTAAGTCAGTTAGCTTCTTTATACCTTACCAGTTTACTCTCAAAACCCAAACAAGAAAACCAACCATGAAATGACTGGACTAAATAGTCTCTATAAACTTTCCTAGGTGATGTTAATTCTTCAGACACCAATCCAAGATGAATTAGACCTCCAGGCAGAGAGCTTACTCACAAGGGTAAGCACTGTATTATGAATCTGTAACCTAACTTGTTAAACCAGATTGTAGTGCTATTTTGGAAGAAGAGAATTGGAAGGCCAGGCGCTGTGGCTCACACCTGTAATCCCAGCACTTTGGGAGGCCAACGCAGGTGGATCAGGAGGTCAGGAGTTCCTAACTAACATGGTGAAACCCCATCTCTACTAAAAATACAAAAATTAGCCAGGAGGCTGAGGCAGGAGAATCACTTGAACCCAGGAGGCGGAGGTTGCGGTGAGCTGAGATTGTGCCACTGCACTCCAGCCTGTGTGACAGAGAGAGACTCCGTTTCCAAAAATAAATAAATAAACAATACAGAATTGGAGTGGCGAGAATATACTGGATCCCCACTTCTTACCCTGGAATTTAAGTATTTCATTCTGTCAAAATACACCAATATTTGGCATGACAGTAAAACAGTAGACAGGTGCGGTGGCTCACGCCTGTAATCCTAGCACTTTGGGAGGCCGAGGTGGGTGGATCACCTGAGGTCAGGAGTTCAAGACCAACCTGGCCATCATGGAGAAACCCCATCTTTTAAAAAACAAAAACAAAAACAAACAAACAAAAAAACCCAGTTATCTCTGGCATTCAAGAGATAACAGAGAATTGAATCAACAAATGCTCAATGCCTAGAAATGAATGTTAAAGGAGGGGAGGGAAGCCCATAATACTAAAATTCAAATTCGAAATTCACTCAACCAGTAATTCTGAAGTTCTTATGGCATCCTACTACGGAAAAGACAAGGTGGCTCAACCTGAGAGTGGACAGGCCAAAGTCTAACGATTACAGGAAAATACTACCAAGCATATTCATCAGAATTAAAAACATGGAATGTATTTTCCTCTGAGTGGACCTCAAGATGGAATAAGGCCTCAAATACTTGCTTTGACACCATAACCAATTCCTTGAGCTTCTTTCTTCATTCTAATAGACTATCATCACAGACAAAATCCTGTGTATTTATCACTGGGGTACTCCCTTAATATAAGTCTGCTGTACAACTCGCACTATTCAGGAATACATTTAATAGCACTAAGGACTGTTTCAGAAGTAAAGGCATTAGTTTTGAAGCTTGAATCAGATTATGCTAAATTCATCTGAATTTCAAGTCTTCATATTTGCAAAATTAAGTTGCTCAATTACACAATCTCTAAAATCTCGTTTAGTACTGAAATTACAGAATCGTTAAGAGATCAGTACTTTATTTTTTCCATTCCTTAGACCCCTTGTACTCCAAAAATTTCATATTGTTTATACGCCAGCTCAGAGCTCCCCTTTCTCCTTCCTAGCAGCTGTATTAATCCTTTCAGCTGCTAAAATCAAACAGGTGGGAAGAAGCTTAATGCTTTAAACTATAAGCAAGTCTACTGTAACTCCAAAAAGGGACAGGAATTGCCCTTAAATAACAAATGAAATTTAAAAAAATATCATAAAAAGGTGAGAATGAAGATTACAGCCTGAAGATTTTCTTCATTTAGCTCTGCACAACTGACTCAGAAAGGTTAACATTTTAAGAACTTCTCACCACCTCCTCCTAAGTTTTCTACAGAGATATGTTTTAACCAGAATTTAAAATTAGCCTTCACGCTCATTAATTTCAACACTGAGGATAAAAGAAGGATTTATTTCAATCCAGGGTTTCACACAATCATGCAGGAACTATTCCAGCACACTAGAAATATCTCAACCCATAAACAAGTTATCCGACCTAGGAAGACTCTGGGGCCCAGTAGGACACATTTACCACCAGCACGCATCTCATCCAGACATGTGATAAAGGCACAATGCCAAGCTGTGCTAACTAAAACCTTGATGCAACTTGCTGACTGGAGCTTCACAAATGCTCCAGGCTCCTTGGCCTGTGTCATCCAGTTCCAATAGGTAAGAATAACCGAACCCCTTCCTTGCTCAGTTTTCCTTCGTGAGGTGGGGGTTCCACAGAAGAGCTTCTTTTGAGGCAACAGACATAACATAGAAAGCAAGCTAGAGAACTTCTAACGTCCACGAATCTTAAAAATGTATTTTTACTCTATAGTATCTCCAGGACAGTAGTTAATTTAACGGTCTACCCTCCTTGGTGAATGGGCAACCCCATCCTCTTACAAAGTGTATTTTCCCTTTGTCATTTTGCCCACCAAATGGCCTTAGGGTCAATTTTAATTAATGGCAAAAGGGGTAGGGGAACCTACCTGTCTCAGCCTGGGGCTGCGGCAACTCCTGCTCTGTAGCAGGGACGGTTTCTGTGGCTTCGCCGGGCATTTCTGAAGGAATAAAAAGGAGGCCTGAATTGACTGGAATACATTCACTTGCCCAACCCAGTTTTTAAAAGTATTCTTAAAAACTCTGCGGAGGGCTGTTAGAAAAAAATCGTGAGGGTGTTCGGGATCAACCTTCCCCAAAGAACCTGAGAATGAGAGGTAAATATGATGTGACCCTCACGTCTGTATCAAGGCCAGCAATTCCCAGTGCACTCTCAATTCGAGAAAGGATCTCAGTATGGCTTCCGATCATGGGAGACTTGAGACGCTACTGTGAACCCCCTCCAGTCCTAATACATTGCCTGTGCTCCTGGACTTCACGTTTGCCGACTTTGGGGAGCCACGAGGGGAAAGACGGTGCTGTAAGTCCAACACTTGCTTGTCACAAAGAGAACGGTGTTGGGGTTCTAAGGCTGTGACCCCTTACCCTCTCTGGATCCCGTGAAGCAGTTCCCAAAACAAGATGCACTCCGCTTCCGCCCTCAACACTGCAACTGCTCCCATCTCTGCAGGCTCGGATTCCGGGCCCGGCCCGGAGCCCTTCTACCCTGCTTTTGCCCGGACACCAACCGCAGACCCCATTTTGTCCGGAGGCCCACAGGCGAGTAGGAACCCTGTGGCCCCGTAAAGCCTCCGACTCTCCTTAACTCTCAGTCCCCGGGGCAGTTTAGCCTCAAAGAAAGGTGGATGGCAGCGGATAGAGAGTATCGGCGCAGAAAGTACTTACTGTGCAGGGAACGCGGAATCAAGATGGCGGCAGAAAGAGAGCGAGCCAGAGCGTGACCCACGCCTGTTGCAGAAGGAAGCCTGGAGCGGAGTGGGTGGGACTAGAATCCGATTCCGGGTCAAGAGCTGCCCGCAGCAACTTCCTTTGAGTGACCGTCGGGCTGTTCCCACGGCGGGGGTGGTGACAAGGACTAAATAAGGGTAAGAATTCAGAACAGGACTCGCAGGCCTGGCAGGAGCTCTCGGCTTGAAGCTACGCAGTCCTCAGTACGAAGCCGACTCCGCCCTCCGGTCCGCCAAGTAGCGACTGCGGTATTAAGGCCACTTCCGGATTTCCCTTTCTCAAATAGTGCAGGGAAGGTAAGACATTGAATAGCGAATGCTACAGAGACTGCATTCACAGCATTGGACGGTGAAAGTGACCTAGGCTAACCAATTATTTTTGGAACACACAGTGTGAAAATTAACATTTTAAAAGCTGCTGGACCCTCCCCCCCCCAAAAAAACCCCATTTTAAACCGAGAGATGTGATGAAGCACATAAAACTTCTGTTGAGATTATTGATCTAACTCGATTTATTTTTCTTGTCCTGTTCAATGACTAAAGACACTCAAACGGTCACCAGATGGCAGCGAATCATGACTGTTAAACTCTGTGACAATGTTAGTTGTACCCCTCTCAAAAACGCTGCTTGTAAACATATTCTGTAATTATGTTCCAACTTTGTATGGATAAAGTAATCCAGCTAAAAACTGTCTCTGCCTAAATAAATGAAATCTTAACTTCCCTACTTCTGAAGGCTGACCCCATTCTTTGGAGTTGGTTTTCTGGTTGGTCCATCCTCACACTGCCCTTGAATAAACTTTTTTTTTTTTTTTTTTTGGGACGGAGTTTCGCTCTTGTTACCCAGGCTGGAGTGCAATGGCGCGATCTCGGCTCACCGCAACCTCCGCCTCCTGGGTTCAAGCAATTCTCCTGCCTCAGCTTCCTGAGTAGCTGGGATTACAGGCACGCACCACCATGCCCAGCTAATTTTTTGTATTTTTAGTAGAGACGGGGTTTCACCGTGTTGACCAGGATGGTCTCGATCTCTTGACCTCGTGATCCGCCCGCCTCGGCCTCCCAAAGTGCTGGGATTACAGGCTTGAGCCACCGTGCCCGGCCTGAATAAACTCTTTAAATAGATTCTCACCCTTTTAGGTTCACAACTAATTAGGCCGCTGTTGAAATTATAAAGTTATAAAGTTGCAGATTCTCCTTCCTAGAAAAAAAGAACATAGGCACATATACAATTCCTTTGCTTGCTATTTTGGGCACTTCTTGGATTTTTCTTTTGAAACTTTGGCTTTTGTTGCCCTTGTTGGTGTGCAGTCTGCGATCTCAGATCACTGCAATCTCAGCCTTCTGGGTTCAAGCGATTCTCCTGTCTAGGCCTCCTGAGTAGCTGGGATTACAGGCATGCGCCACCACGCCTGGCTAATTTTTTGTATTTTTAGTAGAGATGGGTTTCTCTGTTGGTCAGGCTGGTCTGGAACTCCCGACCTCAGGTGATCCACCCACCTTGGCCTCCCAAAATGCTGGGATTACAGGCTTGAGCTACTGCCTGGCACTTCTTGGATATTCTAAGCTTATTCATTCTAGGTGTCTGGGACCCCACCTTAAGAAATCATACTTTGTTCGACTGTATTCTTGAAAAGTAGGATGTAAAATCAGTGTTGTGTTAATGAAAAGGCTCCCATATATTCTTGCAGCCCCACAAAAGAACTCAACAAATACATGCTGTACTTGAATTAGCTAAACCAGCCAACATTATTTTATTTATTTATTTTTTGAGGTGGAGTCTTGCTCTGTTGCCCAGGCTGGAGTGCAGTGGTGTGATCTCGGCTCACTGCAACCTCCTCCTCCTGCGTTCAAGCGATTCTCCTGTCTGAGCCTCTGGAGTAGCTGGGATTATAGGCATCCGCCACACCTGGACTCCAGACCTTAGGTGATCTGCCCACCTCAGCCTCGAAAAGCCTTGGGATTACAGGCGTGAGGCACTGTGGCTGGCCTGATTTAATAGCTTTAAAATGACTGTGGCCTGCGCCCCCCCCCCCCCCTTTTTTTTTTTTTTTTTAAAGAGATGGAGTCTTACTCTGTTGCCCAGGCTGGAGTGCAGTGGCCTGATCTTGGCAATGGTGCCAATAGCTTGAACTCAGGAGGCAGAGGCAGAGGTTGCAGTGAGCCGAGATTGCACCATTGCAATGCCTGGGTGACAGAGCAAGACTCCAGCTCAAAAACAACAACAACAACAACAAAACCACCAAAAACCAATGAACCAACCAACCAAATAATGAGAAATTTTCTTTCTTTCTTTTTAAGATATTTTGCTCTTATTGCCCAGGCTGGAGTGCAATGGTGCAATCTTGGCTCACTGAAACCTCTGCCTCTTGGATTCAAGTGATTCTCCTCAGTCTCCCAAGTAGCTTGGATTACAGGTGTGCATCACCATATCTGGCTAATTTTGTATTTTTAGTAGGATGGAATTTTACCATGTTGGTCAGGCTGGTCTGAAACTCCTGACCTCAAGTGATCCACCCAAATCACCTGCCTCCCAAATCACTTGCTGGGATTACAGGTGTGAGCCACAGCGCCCGGTGGGAATTTTCTTAAAATATAGGTTAAGGAGTCAATGTGTTGACTGCATTATAGAGTCTGTTTCATATAAACCAAAAGATTAAAACAAAGACTAATTGTAGAGAAAACAATGTTAAAGGAAATGCAAAGGAAGGAAAATTTTCATTGTCATTAAAAGCACCAGCCTGACAGCTTGCTTCTCAAATTTTCTCATTAGACAGAATATAAACTAGAATGACTGTTTTGTTTAGATTGGTTGTAAAACAAGGCAAGAGAAATCTGACACATTAGAACCCATTTCACAAAATCAGACTTTAAAAATTGAAGTACCAGCTGGGTGAGGTGGCTCACCTGAGGTGACAAGTTGAGACTAGCCTGGCCAACATGGTGAAACCCTGTCTCTACTAGTAATACAAAAAAAATTAGCTAGGTGTGGTGGCACATGCCTGTAATCTCAGCTACTCGGGAGGCTGAGGCAGGAGAATTGCTTGAACCAGGGAGGTAGAGGTTGCAGTGAATCAAGATCGTGCCATTGTACTCCACCCTGGGCGACAAGAGGGAAACAGTCTCAAAAAAAAAAAAAAAAAAAAAAAAAAAAAAAAAAGGTCCCAAGTGTTTTCACAAGTATAACAGGTTTTATTTATTTATTTTTTTGAGACGGAGTCTTGTTGAGCTGCTGAGGTTGGAGTGCAGTGGCATGATCTCGGCACACTGCAACCTCCACCTCCTGGGTTCCAGCAATTCTCCTGCCTCAGCCTCGCAAGAAGCTGGGATTTCAGGTGTTCACCACCACACCTGGCTAATTTTCTTGTATTTTTAGTAGAGACAGGGTTTTACCATGTTGGCCAGGCTGGTCTCAAACTCCTGACCTCATGTGATCTGCCTGCCTTGCCCTCCCAAAATGTTGTGATTATAGGTGTGAGCCACTCCAACTGGCCCTCCAGATATAATTAAATGTTTAAAACTTAAGGACAAAATCCTCATTCACCCAAAAATATGACGTATAAAGTGATCTGAGATGAGTCTCGGGCCTATTACTGCTCACTTACCTCTATATATGGCAACTGATAGAACTGGGTATTTATATCAGAAGCCTTAGAATTATCTTTATGTAATATTAAATTTTACAAAATTATCTGCAATCCACTTATGCCTTTTGTTTGTTTTTTGAGACAGAGTTTTGTTCTTGGTGACCAGGCTGGAGTGCTGTGGCGTGATCTTGGCTCACTGCAACCTCTGCCTTCTGGTTTCAAGCAATTCTCCTGCCTCAGCCTCCCGAGTAGCTGGGATTACAGGCGCCTGTCATTGTGCCCAGCTAATTTTTGTATTTTTAGTAGAGACAGGGTTTCATCATGGTGGCCAGTCTGGTTTTGAATTCCTGACCTCAGGTGATCTGTCCGCCTCGGTCTCCCAAAGTGCTGGGATTACAGGTGTGAACCACTGCACTGGCCCACCTCCTTTTATTTCTCCTTCCAGGAACCTTGACACTCTTCCTTTGGTGGTCTCAGGAAATTTTCTTTTTTGAGACAGAGTCTCACTCTGCCGCCTAGAGGCTTCGATCTTGGCTCACTGTAACCTCCGCCTCCTGGGTTCAAGTGATTCTCCTGCCACAGCCTCCCGAGTAGCTGGGATTGCAGATATGTTCCACTGTGCCCAACTAATTTTTGTATTTTTTGTAGAGACAGGGTTTCACCATGTTGGCCAGGCTGGTCTTGAACTACTGACCTCAGGTGATCTGCCTGCCTTGGCCTCCCAGAGTGCTGGGATTAGGGACATGAGCTACTGCACCTGGCCAGGAAATCTTTTCTTTTCTTTTTTTTTTTTTTTGTTTTTTTGTTTTTTTTTGAGACGGAGTTTCACTCTTGTTACCCAGGCTGGAGTGCAATGGCGTGATCTCAGCTCACCGCAACCTCCGTCTCCTGGATTCAGGCAATTCTCCTGCCTCAGCCTCCTGAGTAGCTGGGATCACAGGCACGTGCCACCATGCCCAGCTAATTTTTTGTATTTTTAGTAGAGACGGGGTTTCACCATGTTGACCAGGATGGTCTCGATCTCTTGACCTCATGATCCACCCGCCTCAGCCTCCCAAAGTGCTGGGATTACAGGCTTGAGCCACCGCGCCCGGCTAGGAAATCTTCAACATAAATTATTTCTCAAGAAAAGGTAAATTTACTTTGAGCTTTAAGACACATACATAGTTCTGCCACATTTATTAAATGGCTCTTGAAGTATTTGATCTTTGGTTGAAGGCAGAAGATATCCACATTCGTTTGAGGAGCTCTGTCTTCAGAAATCTTTTTGTAAATCTAAAATAGAATAGATAATATATGGAAGAACAGCAAAGGAAAACAAACAAAGCCCATTTATTTTTACATTCTTATTTGTCTAATGCTTCTACTAAAGTCACATCATGCACAAAGATTTGCTTACACATTTGCTAAAGCCCACACTACAGGCTGAGCTAGTATGGAACAGTGAGAATACAAAGGACTTAATACGGCCAGTTGAAATGGCAGCTTCAACCAGGCTTTCCAAGTTCAGAGTCATTGTTGTTTATTCAATAATCACACATTTGAATGTCTACTATAAGTAGAGCATTACCTTAGGCACTACTCCTTAAACTATCACATATTTAAATAAAAAATGAAGTGGCAAGAGAATTTGTATTGCTATAACATTGTTACAGTTTTCCAGAGTATCTATCAATCTCTTGAAATAATATTCAATCTGCTGATTTTTTTCCTATTGGCTTATACATATGCTCAGGTGTCTCCCATTCAGAGTACTCTTCATTTGACACTGCTATCCTCTTTGTATCTCCTTCCGGTTATTACATGCAGCAGGATTTTATCAGTTTCCTACTGTATCTGACGTGATAATCTTGGAATTTTTTTCCCCTGGCTTCTGTAACATTTTCCCTTCTATCTTTCATCTCTTTACTTCTAAATCATTAACAAGTCTCAAGGATGGTTCTATTATTTGCACCTTTTGGAGATCTCCAGTGCTACTGTTCTAGCTGCCTCTTGGGCTCTATTCTATTCCCTGCATCGTCCAGATTTATCTTTCTAGATAAAACTGCAATCATGGCATTCCCTTCCTCAGAACCTTTAATAGCTTCCTATTGAATTAAGGCCAAAACCAAGCCCAAACACCTAAGCTTGGAATTCAAGGCCATTTAGCTTGCATCTTTGGATTTATAGCCCACCACTTCTGGAAACACCGTTTTCTAGATTACCTGTACTACTTGATGGCTTCCAGAGTGACTGGATGCTTTCCTGTCTGTCTTTGCTCTTGCTGTTCCTTCAAGAATGAGCAACCCTTGGCCTTTTCCCACCTCTATACCCATATCTCATCAAATTTCTGCCTGTGGAAATGCTTCTCATACCTTATGGTATGGTATATTGGCATTAGGGATTAGAATTCTTTTTCTTTTTTCTTTTTTTGAGATTGAGTCTTGCTCTGTCACCCAGGCTGGAGTACAATGGCACGATCTCGGCTCACTGCAGCCTCCACCTCCTGGGTTCAAGTGATTCTCCTGCCTCGGCCTCCCAAGTAGCTGGGATTACAGGCATGCAATACCACACCTGACTAATTATTGTATTTTTTTTTTTTTGAGACAGAGTCTTGCTTTGTTTCCCAGGCTGGAGTGCAGTGGGGCCATCTCAGCTTACTTCAACTTCCACCTCCCGGGTTCCAGTAATTCTCCTGCCTCAGACTCCTGAGTAGCTGGGATTACAGCCACCACGTCAAGCTAATTTTTGTATTTTTAGTAGAGACAGGGTTTCACCGTGTTGGCCAGCCTGGTCTTGAACTCCTAACTTCAGGTGATTCCCCACTTCAGCCTCCCAAAGTGCTGGGATTATAGGTGTGTGCCACCACGCTCAGCCTAGGGATTAGAATTCTTTTTTTTTTTTGAGATGGGGTTTCGCTCTTGTTGCCCAGGCTGGAGTGCAATGGCACGATCTTGGCTCACTGCAATATCTGCCTCCCAAGTTCAAGTGATTCTCCTGCCTCAGCCTCCCTAGTTGCTGGGATTACAGGTGCCCACCACCACACCCAGCCAATTTTTTTGTATTTTTAGTAGAGACGGGGTTTCACTATGTTGGCCAGGCTGGTCTTGATCCTCAGGCAATCGACCCGCCTCAGCCTTCCAAAGTGTTGGGATTACAGGCATGAACCACTGTGGCTGACTAGGAATTAGAATTCTTATAGCAGCTCATGGAAAAGTTCAGATACCATTGTTTTCATATGAAATGTCGGAGTCCATCAGATAAAATCTCTCTTAACATTTTGTACTTTTTTGGTTTGTACAAAGGTAGTACTTTTTTTTTTTGTGATGGAGTCTCGCTTGGTTGCCCAGGCGGGAGCGCGATGGTGTGATCTCAACTCATTGCAACCTCCGTCTCCTGGGTTCAAGAGAACCCTCCGCCTCCTGAGTAGCTGGGATTACAGGTGCCTGCCACCACACGCAGCTAATTTTTTCTATTTTTAGTAGAGACACGGTTTCACCATGTTGGCCAGGCTGGTCTCGAACTCTTTACCTCAAGTGATCCAACTGCCTCGGCCTCCCAAAGTACTGGGATTACAGGCATGAGCCACTGTGCCAGGTCAAGTTAGTACTTCTTTTGTTTCTGAGATGGAGTCTTGCTCTGTCGCCAGGCTGGAGCACAGTGGCACAGTCTCGGCTCACTGCAACCTCTGCCTCCCGGGTTCAAGCGATTCTTCTGCCTCAGCCTCCTGAGTAGCTGGGACTACAGGCATGTACCAAACGCCCGGCTAATTTTTTTTGGATTTTTAGTGGAGATAAGGTTTCACCATGTTGGCCAGGATGGTCTCGCCCTCTTGACCTCGCGATCCACCCACCTCAGCCTCCCAAAGTGCTGGGATTACAGGCGTGAGCCACCACGCCCAGCCAAGTTAGTACTTCTTAAGGGCAAGAAGGCATTCATCTTTGTCTTCCTTATAAAACCTGATACTTAGAATGTGTTTAATAACTATGTGTTGAATTGAATTAAAGAACCTCAATTTCTGAAACATTGAAGATAAGAAGATAAATCAGTAAATTTTGGAGGGAGGGCAAAGAAAGACTAGGACTCAAAAACTGCTAATTTCTACTAATACTAAGATCGCACTAGATAGAAGGGAAAGGCATAGAGTCTTACCACTCTTCTTAAGAAGTTCTCCTTTTCGGGATTTATCCAGGTTTTCAAGAAAATATTCAAAAACTTTCACATAAGGTGCTAGACTGGTCTTCTTATAATCTAAATTATGAATAATGTACATTATAATTTTAATTAGCATACTGGCGGTAAGAATAACATGAAAATGTAACAGTTTCTTGTAAGAATTTTGAAATATGAGAAACATATATACTTATCAATATTGTATTAGTCACATTACAAAAGGTGAAATTATTATTATTATTATTTTTTTTGAGATGGAGTTTCGCTCTTGTTACCCAGGCTGGAGTGCAATGGCGCGATCTCAGCTCACTGCAACCTCCGTCTCCTGGGTCAGGCAATTCTCCTGCCTCAGCCTCCTGAGTAGCTGGGATTACAGGCACACGCCACCATGCCCAGCTAATTTTTTGTATTTTTAGTAGAGACGGGGTTTCACCATGTTGACCAGGATGGTCTCGATCTCTTGACCTTGTGATCCACCCGCCTGGGCCTCCCAAAGTGCTGGGATTACAGGCTTGAGCCACCGTGCCCGGCCTAAAGGTGAAATTATTATTATTGAGACAGGATTTCACTGTTGCCCAGGCTGATGTGCAGGGGTGCTGTCTTGACACTGCAGCCTCGACTACCTGGACTCAAGGGATCCTCCCACCTCTGCTTCCTGAGTAGCTGTAATTACAGGCATGTACCACTGTGCCTAATTTTTTTTTGGTATTTGTAGGGACAAGGTCTCACTCTATTGCCCAGGCTGGTCTCAAACTCCTGAGCTCAAGTGATTCACCCAGCCTTGGCCTCTGAAAGTGCTAGGATTATAGACACATGCCACTATGCCCAGCTAAAATATTATTTTAGCATGTAATAAAAATTGAGATATTTGACATTCTCTCTTTCATACAAGTCTTTAATTTTTTTTTTTTTTTTTTAAGACTGAGTCTCGCTTTGTTGCCCAGGTTGGAGTGCAGTGGTATGATCTCGGCTCACTGCAACCTCTGCTTCCCAGGTTCAAGTGATTCTCCTACTGCAGCCTCCTCAGTACCTGGGATTACAGGCACGATCTACCATACCTGGTTAATTTTTTTTGGTAATTTTAGTACAGATGGGGTTTTACCATGTTGGTCAGGCTGGTCTTGAACTCCTGACCTCATGATCTGCCTGCCTTGGCCTCCCAAAGTGCTGGGATTATAGGTGTGAGCCACTGTGCCTGGCCAAGTCTTTGAAATTTAATGTAAATTTTATACTTAAAGTACATCTCAATTCAGATTCCATATTATAAGAAATATTTATCTATATTTAGATTTTTATTTGTGTTTTTTGACAGAAATTCTAAATATATATATATTTAGATTCAATTAACAAAATATACAGTTGAAAAAGTAGACTTACCTAAAATGCAATAAAATAAATAAACGGGAAAAAAAAATAACAATTTAAATTCAAACAATTATAAAATTCTTATTTGTCTATAAAAAAAGATTCAATAAAGCAGCTGAAGTAGGACACAATAAAAATAAAACAAAGCAAAATTAAAAAATCATAAAAAGAATGAAAATAAAGCAAAACAATAACACAACACGATCTTATAATTTTCCCATGAAGTCTATAATTTAGTTTTCTGTTAACTCAGATGTTAGGCTTACATATCTAAGTTTTCTTTTTTTCTTTTTTCTTTTTTTGAGACGGAGTTTCGCTCTTGTTACCCAGGCTGGAGTGCAATGGCGCAATCTCGGCTCACCGCAACCTCCGCCTCCTGGGTTCAAGCAATTCTCTTGCCTTAGCCTCCCAAGTAGCTGGGACTACAGGCATGCGCTACCATGCCCAGCTAATTTTTGTATTTTTAGTAGAGACGGGGTTTCACCATGTTGACCAGATGGTCTCGAACTCTTGACCTCGCGATCCACCCGCCTCAGCCTCCCAAAGTGCTGGGATTATAGGCGTGAGCCACCACGCCCGGCCTCATATCTAAGTTTATAAGAAATACTTAAGTTTTCCAATAATTGAATTATCCATTTTTAAATTTAATTAAAATTACATTAAAAACATTTCAAGTGCTTAATAGTCACGTGGGTACTGTATTGGACAGTGCTGCTCTAAAATAGACAACCACATGTACATATCTCTACTCTGGTAGTCAGGTTTCCTAGTATTAGATCATTATAATCTATTGCTATGTGTTCAGTCCCATTCAACATTTTTTTTCTTTAGACACTCTGACTTCAACAATAAATAGTTTTACTGATAAAATAAGACTCTGAAAATGTGAACTCAAGCCATGCCTTTGTTATTTATTTTGAGACGGAGTCTCCCACTGTCACATGGGCTGGAGTGCAGTGGTGCGATCTTGGCTTACTGTAACCTCCACCTTCTGGGTTCAAGCGATTCTTCTGCCTCTGCCTCCAGAGTAGCTGGGATTACAGGCACCTGCCACCACGCCCAGCTAAAATACAATTTTATTGTATTTTTAGTAGAGATGGGGTTTTACCATCTTGGCCAGGCTGGTCTTGAACTCCTAACCTTGTGATTGACCTGCCTTGGCCTCCAAAGGTGCTGGGATTACAGGCATGAGCCACCACTCCGGGCCCATGCCTTTATTTTTGAGACATGTCTTGCTTTGTTGCCCAAGCTAGAATGCAGTGGTGTAATTGCAGCTCACTACAGCATTCACTTCCCTGGCTTAAATGATCCTCCCACCTCAGCCTCCCAGTGGTTGGGAACACAGGCGAGTGCCACCACACCTGGGTAATTTTTTATTTTTAGTAGAGACAAGGTCTTGCTATGTTGCTCAGGCTCAGGTCTTTTGGAGATTATCAGAAGTTTTTGCATTAAGTATCCTGTTTCCTTTATTATTATTTTTTTTTTTTTGAGACGGAGTTTCACTCATGTTACCCAGGCTGGAGTGCAATGGCGCGATCTCGGCTCACCGCAACCTCCGCCTCCTGGGTTCAGGCAATTCTCCTGCCTCAGCCTCCTGAGTAGCTGGGATTACAGGCACGCACCACCATGCCCAGCTAATTTTTTGTATTTTTGGTAGAGACGGGGTTTCACCATGTTGACCAGGATGGTCTCGATCTCTTGACCTCGTGATCCACCCGCCTCGGCCTCCCAAAGTGCTGGGATTACAGGCTTGGGCCACCGCGCCCGGCTTATTTTTTTTGAGATGGCATCTTGCTCTGTCTCCCAGGCTGGAGTGCAGTGGGCAATCTTGGCTAACCGTAACTTCTGCCTCCTGGGTTCAAGCATTTCTTCTGCCTCAGCCTCCCAAAGTGCTGGGATTACAGGTGTGAACCACCACATTCGGCCCTATACTTTTATTGAGACAAGGTCTCCCTCTGTCACCCAGGCTGGAGTGCAGTGGTGTGATCAAGACTTACTGCAGCCTTAACCTCTTGGGCTCAAACAATCAGCCTCCTGAGCAGCTGGGACCTCAGGTGCATGCCAGCATGTCTAGTTAATTACTATTATTTTTTGTAGAGATGGAGTCTCTCTGTATTGCTCAGGCTCATCTCAAACTGCTGGGCTCCAGTGAGCCTCTTGCCTCAGCCTCCCAAAGTGCTGGGAGTACAGGTGTGAGGTGACCAGCAAGTGACCATTACCACCTGAGCTCTGCCTTATGTTAGATCAGCAGCAGCATTAAATTCTCATAGGAGCATGAACCCTATTGTGAACTGCACAGGTGAGGAATCTGGGTTGTGCATTCCGTATCAGAATTTAACGCCTGATGATCTGAGGTAAAAAATGTTTCATCCTGGAACTATCCCTGCCTCCTCCCCAGTCTGTGCAAAAACTGTCTTCCACAAAACTAGACTCTGATGCCAAAAAGACTGGGGACTGCTGCTATGCAGCATCTGTTTTTTTGTTGTTGTTTGAGACAGAGTTTTGTTCTTGTTGCCTAAGAACGAAATGGAATGCAATGGCACTCTTGGCTCTTCCACTTCCCGGGTTCAAGCGATTCTCCTGCCTCAGCCTCCCGAGTAGCTGGGATTACAGGCACGTGCCACCACACCTGGGTAATTTTTTGTATATTTAGTAGAGATGTGGTTTCTCCATGTTGGTTAGGCTGGTCTTGAGCTCCTGACCTCAGGTGATATGCCCACCTTGGCCTCCCAAAGTGCTGGGATTACAGGTGTGAGCCACCACGGCCAGCCTGCAGCATCTCTTAGGTGTTAGAAGATTTGACTTCCATTAGCAGGAAGGCTTAGAATTTCCTTAACTTCTTCAAATTCTTGAATATGCACCTTGGTAAACAGTTTATAGACATATGTTTACCATAAAACTCACCTAGATGCATCAGAAAAACAAGAACAAAAGTACTGCATACATAATAGTTGTTAAATAAATAGGTGGTGAATCTCAGAGACTGATTACTCATTCTTACTGATAGTTTAATCTTTTTTTTTTTTTTTTTTTTTTTGAGACGGAGTTTCGCTCGTTACCCAGGCTGGAGTGCAATGGCGCGATCTCGGCTCACCGCAACCTCCGCCTCCTGGGTTCAGGCAATTCTCCTGCCTCAGCCTCCTGAGTAGCTAGATTTACAGGCACGCGCCACCATGCCCAGCTGATTTTTTGTATTTTTAGTAGAGACGGGGTTTCACCATGTTGACCAGGATGGTCTCGATCTCTTGACCTCGTGATCCACCCGCCTCGGCCTCCCAAAGTGCTGGGATTACAGGCTTGAGCCACCGCGCCCGGCGATAGTTTAATCTTATAGTATAGATCCCAGCATTTAGAAGTTGCTTAAGAAATATGTGTTCAATCAGACTGGATTCAATAATATCACTTGGGCAACTGTTGAAAAAAGGACACATTGTATGTAGTTCTAGGACAAACGCTGATCCATTCTGGCTGAATCAGAGAATTAATTACTGGAGTGACAGATGGATATCTATTTAAAAACCCTGTATTAGGGGCTGGGCACGGTGGCTCAAGCCTGTAATCCCAGCACTTTGGGAGGCCGAGGCGGGTGGATCACGAGGTCAAAAGATCGAGACCATCCTGGTCAACATGGTGAAACCCCGTCTCTACTAAAAATACAAAAAATTAGCTGGGCATGGTGGTACGTGCCTGTAATCCCAGCTACTCAGGAGGCTGAGGCAGGAGAATTGCCTGAACCCAGGAGGCGGAGGTTGCGGTGAGCCGAGATCGCGCCATTGCACTCCAGCCTGGGTAACATGAGTGAAACTCCGTCTCAAAAAAAAACAAAACAAAACAAAGAAAACCTGTATTAAAGTGAAGCTTCAATATATTATCTTACCTCTGGTTCTGTGTTTGATATCAGATTCAGCTTCATTCTCCTCTTTTTTGTCTTCATTAGTGGAAATGGCATCCAATTCATGGCAGATGAAGCTGCAAGTAACAGAACAAGAGAGTGGCACATGAATCCCATAAAATTTACTCCGAAAAAATTATTTAGTGAACCAAATTTGGGATGTTCTAAACACCATGATCTTTTCTTGGAGTTTTTCATGCATGTTACATGAAAGATTGGGAAATATTGTAGTAAAAGCTACTTTTAATCTGTTTAAGTCAGAATTTCTAAACTTATTTGACCTTAATCTTTTTCTTACATAACAGCAGATAAAAAAGCTTTATTGTTCTATTAGGGCATAATCATGTAACCTTTGAACCTTATTTGGTTTCCATACCAAATATACCATTCCCATGAAACTACTTCCTCTAAGTACGAGGCTAATCTATTTAAAATTCAGAACAATAATCAGAAACAGGGAGTGATCAATGATCTGAAACATACCTTATGGTTGGAACGGTAAATGGATCAAATTCGTCCAGTTTGTGCAAATCGATAGGCACAGATATGCGACCTGTAAGAAGCAAAAATTATAAACTGATGATTGTGGACTATAAATCATTATAGATGCCTCCTGCAAGATATTTTTGGTTAAAATTTTTATCTAAGGCTTAGACAAAGGGTTAAACCTATCTGTTAACAACAGTATTTAGAAATATAAATTA